TCTCTGTGGCCTTTGGCAAACTATTAAACCACTTTATACTCAACTCCTCATTTGAAATTTTTTTAAAAAGGGATGATGATAATAGTGTCCACTTTGTTCTGTGAAATAGCTATATTAAATAAGTTCTTATTTCTAGAGTGCTTAGAAAACACTGTGGTACAGAGAAAGCAGTTCATAAGTGTTATGAATAAAATTACTCCTCACTGCCTGCACTGTTCTCCCTAGAATGGCATGCTGAGTTAATCTCAGGGTCTCCTCTGATTTTTTTTTCTGTTCTGCCTTCTCTGTAGTTCAGGATCCCTGTGCCATTTGGGTGACATTCGAAAGCAAGATATGAGACCTCACACTCTGATTCTCTGCTCATGTGAAACATTCAATTAGTCCTGATTTTATTGAAGAGTCCTGGCCAGCCTTGTATAAAAAGCCAGATTCAGTGGGTTTTTTACTAACTTCCTATTTAAATTTCAGATTTGATGGATATAAAAGGTTTCTATATCTTCGCAAATATAGTACAGCCCACTGGCTTCTCTAGGGCTTCTCTGATCCTGAGAGTTTGGCAGGGGTCTTTAAAGTCATTGTTAGGTTTGCGTTTTGGTTTTGCCCCTTCTCAACTGTGTAGCCTTGGGCGAGCGAACCCCTGGGCCTCTGGTCCCAATACAGCTTCCTCTTCTGAAGTCTTTGGGAGCCTGTGGTCCTTCTGAGCATCTTCTACAGACAGTTTAGGATTCAGCCCGTTTCAGCTTACTAAGATAGCAGCACTTTTTTTTTTTTTTTTTCCTCCCTGCTTTCAAGGCTACAGGATAGGGTCCCTATTCTCCATGCTGTTTTCTCATCCCTGAGTTAGGCTTCACTTAAGGTCCCTCTTCTGCTGGCTTTCTGGTTCATTCATAAAGGCACAGAGGAATATTTGTCTTCAACTGACTGTTTTTAACCAAAATTCATCTTTAAGTTTTTATAAAAATGTATTTATCTTGTAGTCGAAACAATAACATCTTTTGTGACCATGAATTGAATTTGTTTCTTCTTCATTTTGTGGTTTCATTTAGCCTGAGGATTCATCCCTTGATTATTGTTAAATATTTTATATTATTACTTAAGAACAATTTAGCAGTGAAATGTAGGGTAGTGTTACTGCCTTTTTATTGTAAGGTTATACTTTTTGAATCTGAAGTTTTTGTTTGATGGGTTTGAGTTGGCTTGAGCAATATTTTGTAAGTAACTTTTTAGTCTGCACTAATTAGTAGTATATTTTCAGAACTTTTAATTATGAAAATATATTTCAGACTCCTTTACAAATGAAAGGCAGCCCGAGTGGCAGTGGCTTTCTTTGACTGAGTCTTCTGTTTTTCTGGCACTTAGTAAATTTGGAGAAATTTACAACCAGCTAGACATTTTCTCCTTTTACAGTGACTCATTTTCATTTGACTTATGTGTTGAACTGTTTTGTTTTCATGCCTGAATATTGAAGGATTTTTTAAATGTACTTTTACTATAGGATTCAAAATTATTGTCAAAATATAGCTTTGAATTGATAGTGTTTAGAATACAATGTAATTCTCTTCTTCAGTTCAGCTTTGTGTCTTTGATTTTGATTACTATTTCAGTTCTTGTATTTTCTCAGAAACAGTTCTAATCAGACTTTTTGTTGGTCCCAAGGATCTAGGATCCTTTCCCATATGTGGGCTGTATTAGGATGGTAGGATGTTTGCCCTCTATCTGTGTCAATGATTTCATCTCCGTTGTGCGTCTGTAAACCACCCCCCCACACCACCCATGAGAGATGCTGTATTTCATTATCCTTTTTTAGAAAACCTATCATCTCTTTTTATCTTGCCCAGCAAGCTTTGATTGATTTACAGCATTCTACTTTTGTTTTTGGAGATCATTTCTTTTTGTATCATATTGATAATACCAAATACTGCCCTAAAATTTACTTCTGATTCCTGTAGAAAGTCATCTGTTCTTCCTTTGAATATCTAGCATGCTTTTTGCTCTCCATATTCAGTACTGCTTTGTAGATTCATGCTGACATTTAGCTGTTATTTTTACTGTATTCCTGAGTTTTGAAATACCCATGTGGACCTGCTCACAGAAAGCACGCATATGTTGTCCTTGGCCTCACTCTCTGTCCTCTGTTTGTTAATAAAATTCTTCTTTAGCTCTCTGACCTTGTAGCAGGTTGATGTTTATAGGTGCTGACCCACTTTCGGCGAACTAAGACAGCTGTCACCAATGCCTTGTTCTCTGTTACTTTATACAGTATATGAGTTATGTAAGAATGCAACACTTTCAAAACCATCTTGTCCCTAAATCTGCCTTTTTTCAGCTACAACTGCCAGGTTGCAAAGTACTTCCCTTTATTTCTAGTTATTAAAAAAAAAAAAAGCAATCACTGAGGTGGGTGGGGAATGGAGGGATTCCTGCCACTCAGGAAGCACCATCATTCATGACCAAGAGCCACCTAGCTTTCTGACTGATAAGGATTTTTGTGTTTCTGTTCAGGGTAGCAAAAAATGAAGAAAGAGAAGATGTGCAGATAAGAAATTTCCTACTTCCTTTAAGGCTCATAGCTTGTTCTCCACACTTCTAGTCAAACTTCTTAAGATACTTTTATTCACTTACTATTGCAAGACTTCTTCCTTAATTTTAGCAGTAGATTGAAGGTCATGTTTTACTTTTTTTGAGGTTAGATGCAACTTTACTTACCTCTTTCTTTAGAGATATTTTAGTGGAGAGTTGGGAGAGTCTGTACCATGGGTTGGCAGCAAGTATTTAAAACTGTATTTATAGGAGATGCTGCAAATTAAAAACAAATTTTTTTCATGTTGCAAAATGCTTGAAAATTTTGCTTCCTGAAGATTATTTTGTGGAAATAAACTCTGCCTTATAAATATTCATCACAAGTTGTGATTCAAATGACAGAGGCATCAGTGTTCCTGTAATAGAACCCATGTCTTATGAAAACTGGGTCACTTTAGTGATGAAATAAAATGCATATACATAAGTAATGGTAGAAATCCCAATAGCTTGTATAAAATTCTTATTATACATAAAAGCTGCCGGACCACTGCCTGCTAACAATAGTCTTAGAGCTGAAACAGCTTTAACAAATCATTTAATAAGGAAGTTGCAAATTCAGTTACCTTCAGGAGACAGAAGGGAAGGCAGATCCTTGGAGCAGGCTTGTTCCATACAATAAGGAGAGTCAGGGACTACAGAAAAGTAGGGATTGATACTGTCAAACCTTTGAGTCATCTTTAGAGTTACAAACCCACTCTCCCATTATAGAGATTGGACCGAGGTCAAGGGATATTAACACATCGCCCCTAAATTAGGAGGATCTATGGACTTAAGCACAGCTAGCTACATAACTTGTAGAATATGGTGCAAAATAAAATGTAGGGCCCCTTGTTCAACAGTGAACAATTTCCAGATGGTGACACCAGAGCCTTATGCTGAACACGGGGTCCTGTCTTCTGCATAAATCATAAGCTGATGAAGCCATACTGGTTTTAACTTCTGATCGAGAGTTTGTAGTCCAAACAGAGAGATGAGCACAGGTACTCTCACCCACATCCACCAAGACATTGATAATACAGATGGGGTTAAAATTAAGCTTTTTACTTTGATACTGTGTAAATGAATCATCTTTATTTACATAAGAGCTTTTGTATGAAGTTTGAGAATCATTGCTTTTCCACTATTGTTTGGAAACTTTGGCTGAATCATTATTTCTTCTATCAGTTTTTATCGTTCCATCTTGAATTCCAATTTTATGAGTTATTAGTTGGAGATTTTTAATCGTAAGATTCAAAGATCTTTTCTAAGAGTCCTGACTGAATTCCAGAATGTTTGAAGCAAGAGTCAGCCAAGGAATGGATCTGCTTGTGAAAGTCTAAGGACACCTTGAGTCTTACTCAGTTGTTGGGAAACTTGTATCATTATTTTTTCCCCCTGTTTGAATGTAACTGTCGCTTCTTTTAGATGAGTTTGTGTATCATTTGAATCTTCTTATAAAGTTGCTTTTCATTGTTACCCTATTTGTAATTTTTACATGGCCATCAAGCAGAAAAAGCAGTTTGGCTTCTGCTGGACTGAAAGGTGACCAGTCACTTTCTCCTTTGTGTTCATTTACAACCCACAGTCCAAGGTTCCACAATAATACGGCCTCAAGAATGCTGTGCAGTGATGTCCAGCCAGCTATTCCAGGCATATTTCTTCATGTTTGAAAAGTGCAAGAGAGAAAATTGAGAATTGAGTACTAGGCAAGAAATTTGTTGGTAATCAACAAACAAACAAAGATTTACACACCCTAAAATCATTTAAAAATTAAAAAAACCTTTGAAACATTGTCCTCCTTAAAAAGTGAGTCTACCAGCAGGACCTAAAATGGCATAATACTATTCTTCATAGTTGTAATTTGAGCTCTTAGTCTGCATGTCTTCCTTTAGCAACATCCCCACAGATATTGATGAATAGTTGGTAATAAAACCAAAAAATCTTACGTAGTTTAAAAATACTAAAGCTTATGTTTTCAAATAGATATGTTATGTGAAGTTACCAGTATCTCAATCAGACAGATAATTCAAATACCTTCATGTTGTTGAACTGTACCCCTTTATGAGTGATCAACAAGAATAAATTCACATTGCAGGGAAGGAGCAGAGAATGGGTGAATACAGTTATCTAATAAAAGTTAGGAAGGATTATTGCTACTTAAAACATTTACTGTGGGGCCGGGGACTTAGCTCAGCGGTTTGGTGGCCTACCTTGCAAGCGCAAAGACCCAAGTTCAATCCCCAGTACCAAAAAAAAAAAAAAAAAGCCATTTACTGTGAGCCATGCACATGAATTTATGTGTAGCTAGTGACTGCTCCTCAAATTTAATCCCTTTTTATTGGGGGGGGGCAAATATAATGAACTGTTTTCCCTCCTGCCTTTCAGAATATACTGTGAGATATATAAACTGAATATCATTGAATTTTTTTAACCTTCTACAGGTGGAGATTTTCATTTTACCTGTATGTATTTTCCTACGGAGTTCGGTTCCTGAAAAAGGTAGGATCTGTTAGATTACTTTATATAATTTCTGTGTAACTATTAATGATATCCCATTACAGTTCCTTCCATAGTTATGTTTTCCTTGCTACTGCTTTGCTAAATCCTGCATGAAATAGGGCACCTTAATCTATGAAAATAATTATTTGTGGCTGTCATGGGCTTTTTCCAAGTTATTTTAGTGTTTGCGGATACTACTAATGATTTAGGCTGCTTAAATTCAAGACTCATGGAGACTTATTTTCTCATAGTGATAATAACTAATTTGGCATAAGATGGGAAATTATTTTTAAAAGTACTTTATAGAGCTAGGCATAGTGGCACAAGCCTGTAATCCCAGAACCCTGGGAGGATGAGCCAGGAAGTTTGCAAGTTTGAACCCAGCCTGGGTAATTAGCAAGATCCTGTCTCAAAAAAAAAAATTATTTTTTAAAGGTCTGGGGATGTAATCAATGCAAATGTCCTGGTTTCAGTCCCAAGCACTGTCAAAAAAATAAAGTACTATACAAGAGTAACCTCTAAAATGTTATCACTGTTATTTTTATTACAAAAATATCTCTGAAATGGGGCATGTGCCAGGTGGCCTTACTAGTAAATCTTATAAATACTGACATGAAAATTTGAAATGTTTTTATTTAAAAAATTAGATCTATCAGATGTTGCCTGCGTATAGTAAATTTTATTGTAAATAGCAGTTTTCTATTATTGTAGTTTCCTAAGGAGAATAGTCTTTCAAATTTGTCTAAAAAAAAAAAAAATAGACTGGCTGTAGGGCATTTATACTTAGAACTTTTACTACCCTGGAAGAGGAGGTAGCATTGGAGGATATTTCAGCTGACCTGGGAGAGTTGTACTTCAAGGGAATGTGTGCTTGCTGACCAAGGTCAAGATTGGGAATTCACGCCAGGTTCTGTTGCTGAGAGGCTTTGCTGGAATGAAAGGGAAAATAGGGGTCCAGGAGTGCTCTCTCGCCTTTTCCCCAGGTGTGCTGGGCATGGTTCGCTTTAGCTGTCACACGGTAAGTGTGGCTGTCTGTCATCAGGACAGGAAGCACTTTCTTCGACACTTAGCTCTGGCTCGCTTGTCCATAAACACACGAAATAGAATGAGAATAGCTACTGTTCACCAGCCCAGAGTGGACTGTTTAAGGCAGTAAGAGGACTTCTCAATAGTATGTGTGCATGAAACTTGTTTTTCCTTAAACTCTATTGATTTCATACCAGATTCCTTTCAACTTGCTCTGGTTATAACAAATGTTTAGAAAAGGAAAAAAAGAATTAGGCATTTCTCTGGATGAATTAACTTGTATTGGGGGTTTCTCTCTGTGATGCTGTCTAAGCATTATTTCATTTTGGATGAGTTTTATGGTTTTGTGTTCCTTAAAATGTGCGATAGAAATGTGAGCGTAGAAACCATGTGACTGAAATACCCGTGGAGCACTTCATAAGCCCTGCAACCCTCGTAATTCACAGTCAGCGAAGCAGAATTCCAGAGAGGGTAGGTGGCATTCTGAAGGTTACACAGTTCCTTTACTCAAAACCAAACCAGATTCTTCCAAGCTTTCTGACCACTTTACCAGCATGGTCTAATTTCAGTATTGTTTCCAAATGAAAGTTAGAAAAGTTGACACAACCAGCTCTTCATTCCAATTTGTATAACTTTAAGTACTTTAATAGATATCTATGATGTTTTTATCAGCTTTCTTGGAAAAGATAACATTTACCAATCTAAAACAAGAGAAAAATTACTGTGGATTCAGCATCAAATATAATCTAAGTAATTCAGATTTTCACAATATTGTAAATATTTTAAAATAAAATTCATGTTCACCAAAAGATCATAACTTTATCCTTCAGATTTTTCTAAAAAGAATAATGTGAAGATTCTCAGGATCCCAGAGTAATGGACTGGTTTTAAGAGGTGGGAAACTATCACTGTCTCTCATTCCCACTGTAAAAAAATGTGATTTTTTTTTTTAACATGGGCTATTGGGAAAATTCCTTGCAGTTTGCATACTCAGGTTCTTTCTGCCTTTAGGTTACATAAACTTGTTATGATGCATCCTCTCAGATGGATTAAGTAGGTATGTTTTCTACCCTTAGAGAATAGGGAAGTAGACACTTTTCAGCAATTATCTTACAGACACATAAATGAACTCTTAGGTACAAGTCATTACTAGATTGGTGAAAAATAATTAAATAGTTTAAAGTAATCCTTGTTCCATGTAGTCTGCTCCTGTTATTGCTCTACATAAGTGACTCTGCTCGTAAATACATTGGGCAGGAACAAATACTTTTGTCAAAGAAGATACATAAATACTTGAGGTGCTCTGAAATCCTAACAAACAGAATACTCATACAGATCATTGAGGTTTCCTAGCTCCTGAAAAGAAGCACATATTATCCTTTTTTTTTTTTTTTTTTTTTTGGTACCGGGGATCAAACTCGGGTTCTTGTGCTTGCAATGCAGGTGGCGAAACCACTGAGCTAGATCCCCAGCCCACATATTATGCTTTTAAAAAGCTATCTTTCATATACTGTTCCTTTTATTTGTATTTATTCATGGGAGTTTCTATTGAATGGCATCCTTTAAATACTTTTTTTTTCTTTTTGGTACCAGGAATTGAACTCAGGGACTTGCTTTTGCCAGGCAGACGCTGTGCTACTGGGCTACATTTCTAGCCCCTTTAAATAATTTGGGTCCCTTGATTTACTCATTAAAAAAAAAAATGTCACCAGAAGGCAGTATATATTTATGTGCTACTAGAATTTAGGTAAAATTTTTCTTATACTCTGCATGTTAAGCTAATTTATTTCCAACTTTTTGACCATGTGGTACATTTTATATCACAATTCATTTTGCACACAATGCTTGGGTATAATTAAAAGAAAGTTACTTAAGGTATTTCTGTTTTCAACTTCATATCCATTTGGGGCCAATTAGAAGACAGAAACCATAAGAGGCATTTTAGGAGTTGCTATAATTTGAAAAATCATTAACCAAGGGAATTATTAAGTCTCTATTCCTCAAGGTAATTGAATTGCTGACTGTGGACTACGGGAGTTTGATGAGAGAAGGAGCTTCCAGTAGGACATAAATCACCTCACTGCTTCTGCTTGAGAGTCCACCTGTGAAGTCAGATTGGCTGAACTAAACTGTGCCTAGTGATACAGTTAATCTGCACTCTGGTGTGAGCTCCTTTGTCGTCGCGGACCCGTGACAGTCATTTCAAGAAGTGGCTTTTTCCTCTAGAGCTATACCGAGGTGTCATGGAGATAGTAATAGCAGCAATATGGTACCTCTCTGAGGACCAAGGGATTACAGGGAGAGGTTGGCATTATCAGAACCTAGAAGCTCCAGGGAAGAGCCCTGGAGCCTGGTAAAGACCGCAGAGCTGAGGATGCTGGCCAGCTGGTGACCCCAAGGGAGCACAGAAAAGCCGACTGAGAGTGTAGAGAAACTACAAGCTGCCACCAGCTGCTGCAGCAGAGTGAAGATACATTGTCGGGGTGGGGTGGGGGTGAGAGAATCGGAAGGAAAATAGAAAAGAGCACATCATACTTCCCTCTTGCGTCCTTACACCTTCCTTCTTATGCTTTTGAGAGGCCCCAGCCCCTTAGAGTCAGCAGAAGTACAGTTTGCAGAGACCAAGCTCTGGGCTGAGAGCAGCAATTCAGGGACCAGCTCAACCTTACCACAGTGCTACGGTCTGTGATGTGCCTTTGGCACCAGCTAACACAGATCTTTGCTTTAGTGGTAATGAAAATTAAACATAAGCGGCAGTGTGAATTTACAGGTGGAGCATCTAGAGGAGGAACACTGTGATGAAGAGGCGCAGGCTGTCGCCTGAGGGTGCTCTCAGTCCATGTGAGCTCTGCTGGAATCTAAGGTAACTGTAGGTTCAGGACAAGCACTCTTCTGGGAGAAGGTGGTCTGTCTTGAAGGTTGATGAAATTAGTTAAGTAAGTTTAGGGCTTAAACTTGCTTTGCGAACTTTTAGACAAGATACTTCCTAAATGACTAAAGTGCCTGTATGCAGAGATGAGAAAGATCTGACCCAGCATTTCACAAAACGAAGGTCAAGCTTTGTTCTAATTTTAGTTACCTAATAGACATTGAAGGCCCAAGTGGAGAAGCATAGTTTTTGGTGAAAACCCCTATTTTTTTCTTTATTGGTACATTTTAGGTAGACAGTACAGTTACATTCATCATTGGAATATTGTACCTTTACATGACAGGTCTTGGTTCTTATTTTCCCCCATTCCTCTGGCCTTTCTTCACCCCCTCCACCCTTCCCTATTTACAAAGACTTTGTTTCCATTTTTTCCCTTTTCTCTTATTTTTTCTTTGCCCTTCTTACCCTACCTCTCCCACTTCCCCTACACCTTTAGATCTTTTTTTCCTATTACACAATATCAATTATACATTTTGATCCTTATTTACACGTTAAGTTTATCACACCAGGAGGAACTATTCTGTATCCTATTAATTTCACTTAAGAATATGTCCTCAATGTGCATCCACTTAGCTATTAATGTCTCTATTTTCTTGTTCTTTATGGCTGAGTAGTACTCCATTTTATAAAAACAAACAACATTTCTTTATCAAGTCTCCAGTTGATGGGCAGTTAGGCTGTTTCCAAGTTTTAGCTATTACAAACTGTGCCACTATAAACATGGGTGTGCATATATCAATATGGTGTGATTCTTTTAATTCTTTTGGGAAGATACCCATTAGGGAAATAGCTGGGTCAAATAGGACTTCTAATCCGAGTTGTTTGAGGTATCTCCACACTGATATCCACAGTGGTTGCACCAGTCTGCACTCCCAACACCGACAGTGAGGAAGGGTTCTTTTCTCCCCACAGCCCCACCAACATTTGTTATTGGTTGATTTCTTGATAACAGCCATTCTATCAGGGGTAAGGCAGAATCTCGAAAACCACTTCTAAGTCAGTGTCTTAGAAGAAAATACAAATCAAGCTTTCAATGACTAATGAG